TGCCGCATAATTAACCAAGTTGAAATTAAAAATTCGCTGTTTTTCATACCTGCTTTCAGACATATTAAAGTATTTATGAAACCTTTGCGTTACATGAGTAAACGTAGCTGCTAAAAACAAATGTTGGCAAATAATAAATTGCGAAAATGCATCTCTCCAATTTGAAAAGGAATGTAGGTTGTATAGGGTAACAAATTTTGTTTAGTTCGAGTACGAGTAATTGCTTATTTGTCAGGGCTTCTCGTTTCTCTCATTAAAGTTAATCCACAAGTTATCAATAAAATAAGACAATCCATTGGTGATATTCACGGATACGACCTACGCATTTTATAACACAAACATAACCTCTAACGTTTTAGTTTTTGTACTTTCGTTTGTACACTATTTTGAACTTTTATTACAGAGACTCTGTCTTCATCAACACTAGTAGGAGTTTCATCGATTAATTTCGAAGTAATGAAACAGAGTCGATCGGTTTTCTAAAAATGTATGCTCAAAGTCAATTTAACATTCCTGAAGAGCTCGACCCACGGAAGTTTATTCCGTGAACAGAGCTGCATAATTTTTATGAATGATAAGTGAATCCAAGTAAAAGATTTTTGTGGTCTTGGCTCATTAATTCTGAAGTTCATTGATACCATTTTTGCGTGGGTTAAATTTTATTAGCCTCCAGGAGTATTTAAATCCGTTTAATAGGTGTTGAATCCATTTGAGCTCTAGATTTAGACTCGAAACATTATCATGAGGAATTGAAATTGTATTTTATATTTGTTGCCCATAAATTACACCAACCGTGCCGCGACTTGGTGCCGGGTGGCAAATTCCACTTTAGGTCGCACACTGGAGACGCCGTTTCCTCCCCTCCCACCCTATGCTGCCATTCTCTCTTGTGCCACCGTACTGAGCGTTTTCATTTGTGTTTTAAGATGAGCAGTTTTGAGGTTGAGGATTTGCTTTTCCGCTTCCTTTGTGGCTGTGTGAGCTTTGTTCAGGTAAGTATTCTCTTTTCTCTTTTGTAATTTACTAAAGACTAAGTGGCGACTATCAGGTTTACTATCACTACTTTTACTTACTTGTAACAATGTCCAAAGAATTTGTTAATGGCTTTTGAAGAACTTTTGGATACCTTTAGCTCTGGTAAATATCTAAAAAAATGTCTGAAAAACCTCAAGACTACATTTCTTCCTGTGAAGAATCTATAAGAATCTGAATAATTTTTAAAAATATTTGATACACGACTGAAGAATTCTTCTGAACCTTTGAATGAAACGAGCCTTTAAAATTCTGACCACTTTCTGAGATATCCTGAAAAAACCGAAATTTTCCAAAATCGTGTTTTTTACTGAAGGTATTTAAGAAGATATTTTAAAATAAATTACGCACTTTATTATGACCACGTTTTTCCCTTTACAAGATGCTAGTTTAAAATTTCAAGTCTGACATTTCGTCTCCAGTTAACCATCAACTTTTTTTTCTTATGAAAGTCATTTTTACCTTTTGTGTCATTTAATTGAGCATTTTTTTTCTGATTTCAAAAATGTAAATATTACTATTTTTTGAATAAACGGCGCTATTCATTCGTAAAAACGCAAGAAACTACAGCTCGTTTATTCCTCGAAGAAACATGAGAATTTCAGTGTAAGTTCGCCTATTAGATGCCCAGTAAACAGTGGCCGATATTGGTGGGGATTTCCTCACTAAGATCAACCACCGGATTATTAAAATAACATTCTTCTAGAATTATGACAATTCCAAATGCCAATTTAATCGGAAATTGTTACTAATAATTGATATAAAATGAGCAGAATTCCCTCGTTTACTATTTAGTTTAGATAATGTACTTAGTAGTAAGAGTAAGAATTTTTATTTCTTAATGAACGATCACTTTTTAACAAATGCCATAATCCGAATACCATACAAATTTCAAGTAAATACTTGCGAAGTTAGCGTTTTACAGTGGTGCCCAAATATTCCTTGATAAACTAATAATTCTGTTCTTGCAGATATCGCATATAGTAAAAATTGGATGTGTGCCAACTTTCCTATTTATCAAATCTTTTTGAAGTTTCAATCACAGATGATGCTTCTAGTAAAGACAAGTATATCTTATATTGTAAACAGCAGATGTGCACATGCGCAGTGCCAACTTTCTTATTTATGAAGATATCTTTTCGATATTGTAACCATTGATGATTACAGTATCGAAAAAGACACCACTAATAGTAAAAATCGAATATGACATGTGCAAATGGGCAAAAATATGAATGCAAAATGATTATAAAAAAAAGAGTTTTTGTATGTTTAAACCGAAATTCTGTACAATTTTTTTGAACAGTTTCTGCACATTGGATGAAGCCTATGATTTATGCGTTTATCTTACAAAATGCCAGAATGAATCTGAATTTTGTGGCACAGTTTCCAAAGCTATAACCTAAGGAATACAAAAAGAACGAACTAAATATATTGAAAATCTAGGAACCTCGGACCGACAGACGGACGGACAGAGAAAGTGACTGTAACGGCGCTCCCAACTTCGTTAAGAAGTGCGCTAAAATCAGGGGTTGGAACCCATATGAAATATAGGTTCCGGTTCCGCACTATTTAGGTAGAATACCGGTACCGGTTCCGGGCCTGTGACCAGTAATTTTCGGTTCCGGTTTCGGTTCCAGTTTTTTTTCGGTTTTTAACGTTTCCGATACAAATAAATAAAATTATTATTAAAAACATAAATTATTATTAATTACAGAAAATAAATAATCCATACAATTAGAGTACATTGTTCTTTTGCATAAACATATTTTTTAAGTTTGATTGACACTAATTTTTAGCTTACGCGTCTGTGCCTGTCTTTTTCTACTTTCCTTCTCTTTAGCAGTAGTGTCAACTATTGCTTTCCTTATGCACTCTTCACCCTTCTTACTGTTTTTGATTCATTTTATGGGTACTGGTCACTAGAAAATATTTTATACTTTAGTATTAAGGTTAAGTTGGCCAGCTCTCAATAAAAGTGAGAATTTGGATTTTTGGCTTATGAAATTTCTTGCAAATTCCACAACAGAACGTAATTCAGAAGGTAGATTTTATTCTTGGCCATCAAGTCTATAAAGGATCAGTCACTGGCAGGGTCACTGGTGATGAGAAATGAAAGCGGATATGATACGTGTTCCAGAAAGTATGATAAATGCTGACTTAGATATTTACATTTTTGAAATCAGAAAAAAATTCTCTCTCAAACAACACAAAAAGTAAAAATGAGTTCCATAAGAAAAAAACGTTGACTGGTGACGAAACGTCAAAATTGAAATTTAAAACTAGCATCTTGTAGAGGGAAAAAAGTGGCCATAATAATGTGTCATTTATTTCGAAATACCTTTTAAATAACTTCAGTAAAAAATAAAAACGATTTTGCACAATTTCGTTTTTTTCCGGATATCTCCGAAAGCAGTTGGATTTTTTCAGTTTCAAAACTGCATTTTGTCAAGTATCAAACAACTTTGCTAAATTTAAACTGTCTAGCTATCTCTTACAGTTTTCGAGATCCCCATGGTGACTCTCGAATTTGAATCAGCCTGTATAAGCAAATTGAATAATGTTAAATCTAAGAAATGTTTTAACACCAACACTTCAGAAGCAAATTTTAAGAGCAACAATATAACACGCGTTTCCCTCTCGCAAAGCGCAACGTGTCGACTCTGCCTACAAAAGAGAGGGTACCGAAAAATACCGGTTCTTTGGCACTTGTAATAACGGTACCGGTATCGGTTCCGGTTATCATAACTTTTTTAATAACGGTTCCGGTTCCAAGTCAGAGGTTTATAAATGCAATCGGTTCCCGTTCCGGTACCGGTTCTTTTCGGTTTCGGTTCCAACCCCTCTATAATCTCTATAAGTATAAAAGTTGACACTGCGTCGTTTGCGCATGGCAATTTTTATTGTTTGTGATATGTTCCCTTTAATAGAATCATCTATGGTTCAAATTTCAAAGAAATGTCCATAAATTTGAAAATTTCCAAAGCGCAGACTGACATGCGGACGGAAAGATAAGGCTGCACACAGCCCACCCAATTTAAACACAACATTGAGGTAGGAAAAGATCTATAATTTTACAGTCCCATTGCAAAAATTTAAATAAATGAATAGTGCAAGAAGTGGATGACAAACTCTAAGGTGTAATAAGAAAAACTAAAAGTGGCGTTACCCGATGCCTCACTTTTTCATCTGAAAATCCAAGGTGGTGGTGAGCATGTGAAGTAAATCAGCGCGTGTAAAAGAATTTCAAACATGAATTAAATTGGAAAACGCTCCCTTATGCAGTCACGTATTCGAATTGAACGATATGAGAAATTCTGATGTACTCAATTTACTGTCAAAGCTATACCGTCCTTGCTATAAATCATACAATTACAAAGTTAGAATAATCAAATAACGTTGTGTATAAGCTAACCAGTTGCCTTAATCTTACGTATTAAATGTCACGATCCTTAATTACAAGTAAACTAATTTTGTACGATCTTGAGACTTCCCGACAGTTCCCCAACGCTCAAAGATGGATGATCTATTTCTACTTTACATGTATAAGTTCCCGTGCTCTGTGGAGTAACGGAACCAATCGTTACTTTGTTGCCGTTAAGTGATAGGTCCTTCTATAAAGTTAAGTTACTAGTAAAACATTAAGAGGCATTTAGTAATTAATTACTTTCACCACAACACCATCGACATCCGTAATTGAAACCGGATTGATGAGATTCGAATCGTACTTATAAAATTGCTTGCCATCCTTGAGCCATGTTATTGACACGATCGGAAACTCTCCATGGTCAACGTTGCACTCAAACGTAACGCTCTCTCCGGAATAAGAAAACGACGACATCTTCAAGTGGCTTCCTGTAACTATAATTAGGTTACTAATATATTAAAATGGATTACAGTTTTAGTTATTTTGGGCTTAGGGGGTCTTGCGAATTTGCATATTTTGTTTGCTTAGTCGGAATTTATGCAAACTTCGTTCGCTAAACGTTTTCAAAACACGTCAATCACACATTTACATAGATTACAATTAAGTTGTTCATTTAACTATGGATTCGCGTATACTCTAGTTTCTAGGTACAAAATAGCCGAAAACATATCACGTACACTGTTAAATCTTAAATTCATTTAAAATTAACAATCTTCAATGTTTAGCATTAGTTTATACAATGCAATATAGGCGTAGGTATCTTAAAAATTCTACCAATTCATTTCGCGCTAGGCTCGAAGCTCTCGACCCGCATTGTATTGCTCGTGTCAATTCCCTAAGTCACTAAGATATTTGCGCCCAATTGAGAGCACGTTCTGAGTTGCTTTTATTACTTTTTCTGCAAACAATATTCTAGAATAGTGTACATTTACGGTCGAATCCGTCATGATTAGACCATTATGTTATAAACCAGCAAATGATTTTCATTGTGACGCCATTGATTTCCTGCAGAAATTGCGAGACGATATTTATGTCGTGAAAATCGTTTACAATGGATCTTCCATTTAGAAGATTGAAACATCTGGGCCGGCCATGTTAAAGCAAGCATTAGTGTGTCCTTCATTAAAAACATAGGCGCATACGGTAGGCTTTTAATAATCAAAATTTAAAAGGTTCTCGTGGAACGTGTTCAAATGAATGACTATTAATTGAATGGAAAACCTGACCTCATTTTAAACCCGACGGTGAATAAAACATACGCTTCGAAATAGAGAAATGATTAAATTTTAAGCAAGCACGATATGCATTAATTCGTCGAAAGTAATTTGTCGAAGAGTGGGCGTAATGTGTTGGGGGTTCATTCAAATATTGGAATGGCAAAAGGGATCCAATAAGTTGAATATTACCCGAGTTAATCACGTTTTTATACATTACACCAAGACGAATACGTTTGAATATGTCTTTGCATTAACCATCTTCATCTTAAACAGACAGTATCTAGTTTTTAAAATTCAAAATTTAAAATTCAATAATACCAGTAACTGATATCTGAAAATACTTTTAAACGATCTATTTTAGAAATTCCTACTACTATTTAATACCTTACAGTAACATGTAAACCATTGGTATTGTACGATTTCTATACCCATAAATTCTCGTAATACTATAGATCATGCATACAGAGAATTCGGCCATTCGACAAAAAAACAATATAAGAGAATGGATATTTTATTTTGTAGTGAAAGCGGGAGGACAGTCAAAGACACACGATCGAAGAGAGTGCAATATTGTTTGGCTCAGTTCGAATCTCATAGTACTTCCAAGCCATTTATTTTCATTTAACGATAATTAATTGAATTAAATACACAATAATTTCCACGTAGCTTTTATAAAGTTCACAAAACTTGCGTGTGGTCTAATTGTTTCCAATGAAATTGATAAATATAGCTACTGGAGGCGCAATTTGAGGACAAGACTTAATTAAAGTTAAGGTTAACGCAGTTGTGCTTTATTATTAATTATTAATATTTACCCTTTGCTAAAATACGTGTCCAGGTAACGTCAAATATTTGTAATTGGTAGTGAGTTTGCCGAAATATGCAAGTAACTAACGTAACCGATATTAAATTTAGCTGAAAGGATTAATCAATTCCTTTTGGTCGCCTCTTTTTGATTTTACTTTATATTTTATCATTTCATGAGCATAAATTGTGCTATTTTGGAGAAATTTGTTCTGGTTTAGGATAGTTGAAAAAGTTTACTGCGGCTGTCAGTGAGGTCAGAAGGGCGCTCATCTTGTGTGCCGTATCCATAATTTTCTGTACGTACTATCCCGTCGATTCACAATCCATCAAGCCAATTGAATTAAACTGTGGATACAGAGCGATTCCCTGCATCGAACTACTATATTTGGACGTAGGTACTGCACAAACAAAGAATTATTAACTTAATATTCGTTTTCCTCGCTTCTTTCGCCGTTTCAGCTTCGTGGGAGCTGATGCATAAATTTTTTTAATTTAAAAAATTTGGCTTGAAGGTGACTGATGACATTTTGAGATTCTACAACGAGATACGTAAAAATTTTTTGCAATGTCTGTTCAGAGTGCTCAATTTACTTGAAATTGATCATGAGGTGGAGTTAAAAAAAATTAAATCTTCATCGTGAAACACAAAACCAGTAAAATCTTATACAGTGAGTTTTTTTAAGTGAATATATCTACAGTGCCATTACCCCTATGACACACGCGTGTCGCAAACTGAACTAACCTTTATTTATAGCTCAGTGAAGTATTCCAACTCAACAGAATTTAACATTGTATTAGTTCATTTTAATGGGAATAATTCCAATATCTGATCAAAGTATCCTCCTTCATTTTCTAAGCAATACGCTAAACGATTATGGAATGCACATAGAAAAAGGGTTTAATTTATTGCATGCAGTATGCGACCCCCCTTAAAAAATTTGGTTTTGAATTTGTATTTTATTCAACATAGGAAAATGTATACATATACCGCTCCATAGCGAACGTGTACGAAAGTATGTCTGGAAATAAGAGCAATAACAACACGTCCATGTTCGATAGAATTGGGCATTTTCGTGAAAAAAATAAGTATGATCGTGGTATGGGGATTTTTAACTCAGTCCGAGTTAGACCATCAGCGAGCACGCACCATTTTTTGGTGCGTTGGAATTATTTTTGGTTTTTTCGTATTGGTGCGTGAAAATTACGACGGAGTTAGACTTTCAAAGAGTTGGTGTGTGAGAAGCATAACTACAATAAATCTAAATTGATTTTCGCGAGCGAGCACGTGCCAATTTGGGTACGCTAATCATTATTATTCTTGGTGTATTTCATGTAAATACAAAAGGTTGTGGTTTAACTTCAAGAGGGACTACGTATAAATATCGGTGAGTGAAAAAATGGCTCCGCAGTCGACATTTTTAGCTACGTTGCGATAATATCCTCTCGTATATGTGAAGATTTGCGATCTAAGTTCAAGAGTTTAACTTCTCGTAAAACATACTAAGTAGCGAGAACTCCTAAATTTCTAGTACGTGGTGGAGAAACATTTAAACATATTCGGAATTGTGACAAATTGCCATTTTATATACCGGGTGGTGACTTGAACAACGCGCCACAGGAATTTTTTTTTGTAAACCCCAGATCCGTTGTGAATTTTTAGCGTATTTTTGAAAAAAATACGCTATTATATTCGCTATTGCTGGCAGGCCTGCTGTCCGCGTGAGATCTCCATAACTACAATAGCTAGAGGATTCAAATTTTCACTAAAAGCTTTCTGCTATAGTGTAGATGTGCAGGCACTAGTCTATTTTGAGTTAGATTACTTGTAAGATCGATAATTGAAGAAAATAATTTCGATATGGGTTTCGGAGGTGCTATAATTTTACCGTTAGATAGCGCTACCAGTATAAAAACTTATTATTTACTTTGTGATTTGTTTTACAAAATGAAGACGTACCTTCAATTGAAATTAAATAAAATTAATTATTTAACGCAGCCAAAATTACTCGTGAGATCGATAATTTTAAACTTCGCTAATAAAATACTGACCTGCATGACCAAAAATGCGCTTTAATCATGCATATGCTGATTTACAACTTGTTTAATAGCAGCGGCAGCTAACTCGGGTGCCTTTTTCACAGGGAAATTCCAATGAGCTGTTTCTTTTTGTTGATCAAATAATTCGACTATTTCATGCATTATATTGAGAGTTTCAGGTTGAACAACTTATCTCTCTAAACTCATGATTTAGGCTTTCTGAAATAACTTTTACATCAAGTTACATAATCTCATAATGTCGTAAATACAGCAATAACAAAAACCATAATGGTAAACGAAAATAACGGCATGCGTAAGCTGCCAAAATAGAATCATTATATCACGGGTTGGAAATACTCTAATTGAGTTTTTATTCAATGGTATCACGGCTCTCTGTTGGCCAGTCTGAATTATTTTGATTTGTTTATTTATTTCAATCAAAACTTAAACTGGCATAAGTCGGACGTCTTCAAGTCAAAACAACAGATGATATAATATTCTTGTATGATGCCTATTTCAGCACTAGGGAACACATCCTTCTAAACACTAAATGGAATGAAGCACTTTCGGTATTATATTTTGTTAATAAACAACGTTAGAATTCATAATATTTTAAATAAAAATCAAATCTACAGAAGAAGAAATTAAATTTAAACTTCAGCGTGTACTTTGAACTTAATTATTCGAAAGCCCATAAGTAATAATTGCGCTCACCTTCGACTACCACAGTTAATACCACAATTTCCAATAAAATAATCATGTTGGCCAACATTGCAATCAACTATGTCAGTAATCACCTTCAAAACTAATCAGTCTTTTCACATTGACCAGCTTTTTAAAGTTTACTTATTTCTGTGTGATGCAGATTAGCGAATTGCTTAATTTTTAATGATATCAACTGACTTAAAGGTTACAAGAAACAAAAACAAGTACAACGATATGACGTTTATCAATACTGTGTTTGTTAATGAACTACACTATATTTAGATCTTCGATATGTATTATTCTGTGCCAGAGAACAAAAGCGTAGCGAGAAGGCGACCGACGTCAAATTAATTTTTCCTACACAAGCCTAATTTTACCTTTCATCTCTTTGCGAGGGAAGGAAGGTATTTCAAGTAAACTTCGTTTATTTTGGTGAAAACCTTCTTCTTGAAGAGAGAAAACGAATTACTCTCGAGCTTTTTGTGATACTCGTGTACTTCGACGTTGAGCTGCTGTATTGCATACGTAATTTATAATGAAAACAAAAATAGTGCACTTTACCTACTTACACTCATAAGGGAAGATTGTTTAAATGCCTCGACACGTTTCGGTTTTTAATTTTTAATTGTTTCAGTAACGCCAAGATCCGTAAGTAAGGAGTAATACCTACAGCAAGCATAATTTCAATTTCTATGGGATTCCCCGTGAATCGTGAATTACATTATTTGTTACTTAATTACAGAAGCAGATGTTTACAAGTTAACGTTGTGTTATATAAGAGTTTCCTTAGTACGATTGGAATACTCTACGCATGGCATGCAGGGTGATTCAAAATTGAGTGCGAAGACTTTAAAGGCGTATTTACAAGTCAAAAATAAGAACTTTTCATTCGTTTTTCGTTTTCTAATACGGGGTGTAAAAGTTATTTTTTTTAAATCGGTTTTTTATAAATTATCATCCGATTTAAATAAACTTTGGTAAGCTTATTTGTCGTCATATGGGCCTTCCTTTGGTGGGAATAAAATAAATAAAAACCGATTAAAAAAAATTACACCCTGTATCTAGAAAACGAAGCAAGTTAGGACATACGCTTATATGAAAAAAATTTCTTACTTTAGCTGGTATACATACGCCCTTAAAATCTTTGTACTCAGTTTTGAATCACCCTGTATGTTTTCCATTTATACATCACGTTTCTGGTGACACTCCGCTATGCTACCAGCATCAACAATAAAAGGTCATTTTATGCACCCATTCTGGAAATTCTTGTACCAACTTTGAGTTACTGAAAACTGTCAGACAACAGTGGTACAAAACAGATCGAAAGAGCAAAGGATGTTTGATGAATAACATAATAACAAGCAAACTAAACAAGTGGACATTCATGACAGAGAGAATATTATTAATAGAGCTGGAGCTAGAGAAAAAGGAAATGATATTGATTACTTTTGATCCAAAGAAATATGAGAGGACTGGTGAAAGATGTAAGAGGTGCAGAAATATGCCATTACCTAGTGGAAGCTAACATTTATCAAAAGGAGCATCAAAAACCGGGAACTACAAAACAAGTAGAGTAAAGTTATCAAATCGTACAGGCTAAGGGCCAGGGTGTGTTCTCCTTCTAGTTTCATAAGTTCATTTCCTTTTTTATGCGATTCTGTTATTGCCAAAATGTCTCTCCTTCTCAAATTCTTGTGCCAGTTCCACTTCTTTCCCATTTAGGTTTCTGACGTTCGAAGTACCCAGTTTCCACACTGCTTTATTCGGTTTTATTGGTTTTCCTTTATCGTTATCCATTTCCGTCGCCAAAGTCTTTATCGTTTATTTGTCTGTAGTTACTAATTTGGTTAACTTTTTGGGCCTTCTACAAGCGTTTCCTGTTTGTTGTGCCAATTCCAAGTGTGCCCATTGACTATTACTATAACCTTGTGTACCTTCCTTTTTTCTTCCCTAACAATATTCCTAATTTCTGCTTTGACTTTTCTCTCTTCTTCCGTTAAATCGTTATCCACATAGAACTCAGTAGGTACCTTTGAGATTCTTTTTCTTAGACATTACCTTCATCTTCTCCTCTCAGTTCTCCAGCCTAACCATCATTAGCCATTCCACATCCCTGTCTCCAATTTTTTTGCACATCTTGAGTTTCTACGTCCATCCTTATTATCACCCTAATAAAGTTCTCTGCCTCTCTGATGTTTGTTAAACAACCTCCTTTCTTTAATTATGATTAAATGATCATAAAAACATCGATATGTCGATCATGATATTGAAGTCTGCAAATTCGGTAAAGATGTACTCGTAGATTGTTACATGACTGCCGGTGATGGGAAAATGCTATTTAAGTAGAGTTCTATTACAATCAATGAGCAATATTCTAAGTGTCATAATATCGATAATTTTTTTTGTTATTTGCGACATTTTCAATTAACTACATGCGAAATTAGATCACTCACTAGTAGGCGGGGTTGTCTCCAGAAGGCCCAATCTTCAAATGAGTATAACTTTTGTTTGAAAAGTGATTTTAAAAAAACTGTTCGACAATTTTGTTCCTTAACTCATCAAGTATGTACACAACATATTTCGTGGAGCTCCATTTTCGTTGTCCAACCAAGAATTGCAGTTAAATTTTTTTCGAATTTTAAAAACTACTTTCATATTTGTGATTTTCATGTTCAGAAAAAAAAAATTTTTTTTCTGGGGTGCGCCCTTTCGTGGTAGGAATTTTGAAACATTTTTTGCAAAATCGGAAAAGGTATACCCGTACCCGAAAACCTATTCAAAGCCGTGCCACTAGTCTTTCTAACTCTATGGCTGCTGAGAAAAAAATTAACCACCCCTTTTGTGGGGTGACTCCCAAACGAAACACGTTGGACCCTCTGTTTATTTGGAAAAAGTGCAGATTGTTTTAATCTCCTCTGCCACCCAAATTTTTTTTAGATACCCTGATAACTTCTATTGATAGATATAGTGGAATTTAAATACATGTGTGGGTGGAGGCGATCCTATTACCCATTAAAGTAACCGTACGTGTCTACCTTAATTAATAAGGAATCGATTAAACTTATTCAGTGACATATAATGTTGTCTTTAGACTGAAAAAGAAGTAAAATTAATACATAATGAGTAAATAAGAACCCTCCTGCACTTCTATCGCGCAAAAAATTCACAAACCTCGCAATTCTTGCAACTATCGGAAGGTGTTGAAACAAACACACTATTACATAATATAATGACCAAGATTTATTATGACGTTAAAAAAATAAGAATAGCTAACACAAAGTTCACAGATTTGCTATATCCATAATGTTGTTCGTGGAGAAATCAAGTTTTCGTTAATTATTCCTTTCAATCGATCGCTTGTGCGTGGTATTTTGATTATAAGAGCTCTGGTATATCCAGGTACATTTTTTGGTATGTATGCAATAGACGAACAGACATAACGGGATTCGAACGATTAAACGAACATTTGTTAAGGTCGAACAGAGACAGATACAGAGACCTCTCGCGTGAAACGTGATGTCTACAATCACTTTAACGAAAACATATTTGCTGGCAAAATCCTTTATTCAAAATCCTTACGATATCCTACCATTAACAAATTTACGTTTGGTAGCTTTCGGAGAAAAGCTCATTTTACTGTTTTAAATCTTGGGAACTATTTTCAAAAATAGCCGATCTAATCAATGTTGAATCGTCATGCATGTAATTAGATTTTACGACCACAACTATGTAAATACCTTCTTTGTTTCAGGTAAGCTGTAATTCTACTACCAGTATTGAAGTTGTAGTGTACTTAACCCCCAGGTTCTACGATAAATTCACACTACAAGAACAAGGAAATAAAGTCAACCCGGCAACGTTTAAAAATGGCCACCCGAATGACTATTCCCTCCAAAACTAAACAAGATCCCGCTTAAATTTGAAAATTGGCACGTGATCAAACATCTAAGGCAGGGCCCCCTTACGTTTATTGTAGGCAACGCTTTGACCTGAAGCACAGTAGGGAAGGAACGTAAAATAAAACACTCAAATTGTGAAAAGTTTGTTTAATAATGATCGCAATTATTAAGATTGTGAAAGCTCGGAAATTAGGTCGAAATAAATTACATTGCAAAAATAAACTTTGAAAATGGTAGTTCACCGAATAAAAATAGAAATAGGCTGGGAAAAAAAGAACTTACCAATAAAAAAACCAGCCGTCAAATTAAAGTAATTAGAGCGCGTTCGGATGAAGTCAAGCGATGTACTCGGCCTATCTATTACTTACGGTAAACGTCCCCAAAAAAATGTTGTTATGAAGGAAACATAATTAGAAATACGGTATGAGTGGTATTTTGTACCTCAGCACAATGCAAACGTCATACATGATTTTTAAAAAGGTATATACAGTAGTCAACTTGACTAGTCTCCCTACTTTTCGACCCTGTTTCAAACCTTTGCACACTAAACTGTTGACGACACCGCGACTAAATATTCACAGTGTAAGCGGTAAATCCTAAACGAATATATTTATTTTTAATCAAAACGTATGCGAGACGTATGTAAAAGCCGGGAAACTAAATAATTTGGCGTTTTACCTGAAGTCGGTGTAGTGGATTTGGTTTTTCGATGTTGGCGCCAGAGATCCCCAGCCGCTATCTTGATCTCGATCCGATCAGTGTGTCAACAAGACGTGTGCAGGCCTTTATAAATAATATCGCTGGTTTTGATGTTCTTTCTGAAAGACACCATGCCTTTTGTGAAGAAAAGTGCTCAGCAGAAGAAGGAAAAGATTGTCCTAGCTCAGCTATATACTAGACCTAGTGGAAAAGTCGTCAGATTTAAACGCGTGCTGCATAGCGTGCCGCCGCGCCAGAGTAGACGCCGCTCCGGTGGTAAATATTCATGAACATGTACTTTTCCGTGCATATTTAGATTCGTCACAAAATTTCGCTTCTAATAAGACCCATCTCACTTAATCTTGATACAAAAACTTTCGCTAGCTCAGAAAAACTGAGTCTGTCCATAAGAAACCATGTTAAAATACGCTGTTTTTACTGTCAAATATATCAGAAACGGCACATAGGAACACTTTTTTCTTTTGACCATTAGAAAGTGTGTCTCTGAGAGAATAAGTGACCAAATTTTCCCCAACTTCTTGTTACTTTTACCTAGGCGCTCTAACTACTTTAATATCAAATTGTGTTGTA